AATAAAATAAAATGTTACAAATACAACTAATAAAATGTGAATCTGCTTCTGTCTGACAAGGCGCCACTAAAATGAAATGCATTTATTCTTGCACATTTCTGTTCGCACTTGGGTGTGATATAATTAACACACACAAAAAAGGAATTCTAACTCTTAAAACTACAAACTCAGGCACAGTCGCCATCAGCTAACTTTATATCAGCTGAGTGGGGTCATTGTAACAAGACTCCTTTGTCTCACATAGGAGCAAACTGAAATGAAATCTGCCAAACAGGCCTAACACACAAACACAAAACACTCACACAACCATATCTACATAATTAACAAAAACAGCCTAGATGGGGAAAAAAAAACACCTCTCAATTGCACATATGTGTACAAGTAACACATACAACTTCATTAACATGGGCGGATTCAACAGTGCACACCAAGAAAGTAAGCAGACATGGCTTAGAACACCTGCCATACACCCCCCTCTCCATCACGACAGGTGGACGCACCCCCACACCCCCCTAACAGCCAATCAGCCCATTCGCAGATGCATTAAATTAAATGATCGGAATTTGTGTTTCTGCTTCATCTTCCAGACAATTTTACCTTCAAACAGTATGTTACTACGGATGCAGTCCGTTTTCTCTTGTTACAGAAACAAAAACTGGACAAAAACTTGACACACTGATTCAGAAATCTTGCAGGTGAGATTCAAACAATATTCATAGCCTCCAGTACCAATGAACCAATGAAGGATGACTATCTGGGTGACACCTTTTCAGATGACCAGTTACAGACCGTCGCTTCACGCAACACTTGGTGCCGGCCTGCCCCCCCCTCCTCCTCCTCCCTTGGGTGACTGTGGGTGAGTGGGGAGCACGGTCGTCCTCGAATCAGAGGGTTGACGGTTCGATCCCAGGCTCTGCTAACCCGCATGTCGATGTGTCCTTGAGCAAGACACTTAACCCAACATTGCTCCTGTAGCTGCGACTACAGCGTGTGAATGGTAGTTACTGATGGCAGGTGTCACTGTGTATGGTTCTCCTGTCATCAGTGTATGAATGGGTGTGAATGGGTGAATGATGTCATGTCGTGTTAAAGCGCTTTGAGTGGTCGGAAGACTAGAAAAGCGCTATACAAGTACAGTCCATTTACCATTCCTCCCTTCTTTATTTGCTCATGATTTTCTCTCCTTGTTTCGAACCATCCCGGGAGAAGGAGGGTAATAATTATCGAGGATAACAGAGTCCAGAGGAGGAGTACCCTTTGCACCCTGACAACCGTGCCCTTTGTCACTTCTTCTAGCTCGCCTAATAAGTGAGAATATGTTCTTTCACTTCACCAATCGCTCTCTCCTCTGGCACAAAATGGCTTCGCTTCCCTGCCGCTTATCAACCCAACTCCCTTCACCCTTAATCTCTCGCATCCTCATTTTTTTTCACACTCCATTGTGACTTTGGCCTTTGAAAAACAGAACAATCATTTTCCTGCCCGGTTGCGTGTACAACACCCCCCTCTCTCCCCCTCTGTGCACAAAACACCACCACCTTTTCCCTCCTTCCCTTCCCCCTTTTATCTTCCTCTTCTGAGGCTTTAAACTAATTATCTCCTGATCTAGAGAAACCGCTCCCTCGGTCTCAGCAGCCTGTGGGAAGCGGTGCAGCTGTGAGGGACGGACAGCGTTTGTTCTCCCTTCAATCGGTCGCCTCCGATCACGTCAGCGCAGCACAACACACACACACACATTCGGCCATTGTGATGGCAAGCCAGAGATGAGGAAAAGGAGTAAGACAGAGGGTGTGAAGCGGGATATGTTGTACACGAAGCGACCGACTGAATGAATATAATTCAGATGCATGCTTTATTTGAAATAATCTCGGGAAGTGCCTTAGCCTTGTGGGTTACAACGGACAAACAAAGCAAAATGCGACTCTTCTCAAAGTAGCCTCTCAGCGGTAGTTTACGCCACACGAGTTGATGTCATTTTAAGGGGTACTCCAGCAAAATATTAAACAAAATAAAACAGAAGGCTAAGGTATTGATAGAACTTCCGAACACCTGAATCTTACATTAACCATAATGCAACTTGGTAGCCTATTGTATTAGTGTTGTCTTATACAAACAATGCCCCCTGTTGTTAACAGACACACTTGTTATAAATGTCTACATAAAGTTGGAATAACCCTGATGACATCACCCAGGTCATTTCGTCCAACTTTGGAGGACTCCATGCTAGGCGTGTTTTTGCAGACACAGTATAAATCATGATGAGTGAGCTGAACTCAGTTCTTACCAAAAAGAATAACCAATTGAGTGTCGTTTTGAAAAAAGGCAACCGCTATGGGGATAACCATCTTACAGAACAAGACCCTGAACCAGAAGACAACTAATACGACATTAGAAAAAAAGGAAGGCCGCACGAAGGCCTCTAACCTCTAACCTCTTTCCCCAGGCCCCCATGGTTCTGCTCAATGATATGAAAGTATTACAACATTAAATTATTTTTCTCACACACCATGAACACTGCTTGAGAGGTCAGTTGGCCACCTCGGCAACGAGAGAACCTTTGCACACGTCTAAGTACACAGGCACCTTAGACAGATGGTCTCACACACACACACACCTTTTATGTACGAGAGAGACGTACGTTGTTCCCTTTGGTTACTGGCCTAAGTCTTAAACTCACTGAAAGCGATCATACACAAGAACACAGACAACCAAATAGTTTGGCTTTAAACTCCCTCTTCTTTGCCTTGTCATTGCTTTCTCTTCCTTGTGTGAACGTTGTTTTACATTTTGACTGTTCTGTTGCTTCACACCTTTACGACCCATTTGTCCAAACACAGCTATATTCCACTCTCGGTTCTCTTTCTCCATCACACACACTCAAATTTGTTATAGCACAAGTATAACCCACTCTCAGTTCACTTTATCTCTCTCACACAAACAGATTACAAACTTACCTGTGCTCACCTCAGATATATTATTAGTGCTTCGTCATGACTCACTGTCACTCAGTGATTGCATCACCTGAGGAAGCAGTGATGAGTGTTTCAAAGCAGTTCACTGTAATCTGACAAAATCATTTCAAAGCACATTGAACAGTACTTTCTCTAAGTGAACTCATAAAATGGACTCACCGTTTAAACACTTTCACAGGCACAACACTGCAGCTTGATATACAACAAACATAAAACACCACACACACACACATACGCTCACACGGTCACTTGAACACACCCCAGATGTTCAAAGGAGAAAATAAAAGAAAACTGCAGTAAGGGCTTCCTGCTCCTCTGATGCGGTTCCGGAAATAGCAGAGCGCCTCTGAACAGGAATGCCAGGGCTTCCCTCGCAGGGCGCCGTCCACCACTTAAAAAGTAGCGTCTCTCTCTCCATAATATCAGAATTCTCTTTATGGGGGAATCAAACTCGACTCTTGGAGGAGTCAGCACAACAGCCTGAACTGTGTTTTTAGTTAAAGACATCTTCAATACACATAATTCCCTGGTGTTTGGGCCTGGCAGGGGAAGGTTAGTTACTGCCACACCGTTTGGACTGAAGTGAGCGCATCAGTTTATATCTGGAGGAAAAGACTGCAGCTGACAAGCATGCTTCAAAAACCCAAAACTGTTTTTCTTGATACACACCCATACAGAACATAACGTTTTCTACCGGATGCAAATTCATCAACTCATGCAAAAGCACTAGTAAGAACATGGACACACAGTGTGGCATGTTAGCGTGGTATGAATCATATGAAAAGACACAGGCTTTACAGTAAAATGGATTTGATAGTAGTCACATCATACAATGTGTTGTAACAATAAGTGTAAAGCAGCAACAACATTAATATTCATTTACGTCACTCAAAGCTACACAACTGTGCGATATCCAACGGTGAAATTCTATCAATGGACTCAGCTGTGAAGGTATTGGCCCACTCGCCCGTCTGTAACCTACGTGAGCGTTACTGTGCCATCGGAGAAAAGCGGAAAGCTTTAATGGAGCCGCTAGACGTAACGCTAAGTACGAACGGTGCACGGTGGACCCCCGCAGGGGTGAAAAGGGAGCACTGTGGTAGTGTTTTGGGAGCGCTACGTGGAACCGGCGCCTGGTTAGTAGGTGGGCCTCGACAGAACCTGCCGCCGCCAAAGGGACGCGTGCTGCTCACGTGAAGGCAGCAGCCAATGGCAACTGATAGTGCCACAAATGAGTAGCTCTGTTTAGCTCATATTTGAGTTAAACAATATTAAATTAAATTGCAATTAGTGAAGGTGAGGGGGGTTGATTGATTTTTCAATTAACATAACGTGCTATTCACTATTTCCTCAAGACCAAGCTGAAGTAGGACTGATTCAGTTGCCCATTGAGAAGATAGAGCCTCTCATGATAGACACTATTAGTCAAAACACAGCAGTGTAGGATTTGGTGCCATCAAACAGTGAGGTTATGGACAAGAAAACTGGACAAATATTGGCTGTATGAAAAATCCTCCAATACATATATTAAGTGAATTTACAAGCAATAATAACCATACTACAAAAACAAGCGTGTTAGTGAGAGAATAAATCAAAAGTGACAACTTAAATTTGCCACACCTCAAATCCAAACCATTCAATTGAAGCTGAAAGCAACCATCGCTGTAAAAGCCACTTCTAATGCTATTGGACCGGAATGAGGACGAGTTTATGGACACAGAGACGCTACAGAGTGGATCTACATGAACCATACGGCCATAAAATATATGCATACAAAAGGTAGATCACAGCACCTTCTGTATTTTTCTTTCCATGCGATCCACCACCGAAATGAAACATCAGGTGTTCTTGGCCAGATGTTTAACCGGTTACTACAAAAACATGCTTTTCCAGGGAAAAAAAATATGACCCAAAGTGTAGGGTGGTCATCTAGATATCCAGTTTCCTGTGAGTGAGTGAGTGAGTGAGTGAGAGAGAGAGACACCCGTCCACTCTATAGCTATTAGACCATGCTTATTAGACACTTACTTCATCTGTTTGACGATGGTGCTTTTCCCTGACTCTCCGGCCCCTGAGGGACAAGAGACAAAAAGACAATGTAAACAGGGTGTGTGTTTGTGTGTGCGTTTGTTTGTGTGAGACAGAGCAAGATGGAGACAGAGTGGAAGGAAGAAGGGGGTGGGAGAGCGAGAAAGAAAGGATTTCAAGAGGCTTGTTCTCGCTAAGTGAACACAGACAGCAGCAGTTGGGTGGAGATGGGAAAAAAAAAGAAGGAGAAAGTGGCTGCACCCATTCTCCTCCAGTTTTATCTCCATCCCATCTTCCAATTTCAGTCAGTCAACTAAACGACAAATGAAATAGTTTGCAGGCTGCTTCCCCTCCAAATAATGGCTCGTGCAATGACGTAACGTTGTTCTCCACCTTTTACCCACCTGGCACATCTTTAATGGATCAAACCGTATTACAGCAGGTGGCCTTAATTATGTAATGCGTGGGCTTGCAAGGCTGGAATTAAGAATTAAGCAAGTCGACGCCCATTTGTGTGTTTTGCTCATATCGTAGTTAGCGGATGATTTTATATATATATATATATATATATATATATATATATATATATATATATATATATATATATATATATATATATATATATATATATATAAAATCACGGTTGCACGGACTCTTACCGAGCAGCAGCAGCTTGACGTCTTTGGCCGCGGTGACTCCGTCCTCTTTGAGGTTCTTCTCGATGGCTTTGCTCCGGTCCAGAGCCGCCCTCTCCTCTGCGCTCAGAGTACATCCCATCGTTAGAGAACACAGCTTGACAGCTTAACCGGTACCGGGACCCGCGGGGGGGAAAAACTACAACAAAATGGGGATTCAACGAGACTCGCGCGCGGGACCAAAGCTAGTTGCAAATCTCTTCCTTTTTTTGTTGTTGTTGGTTGTGTTCCTCCCGTCTCTTCTGCCGCGGTTGTGTTCCGTGTGCCTCTCAAACCGGGAGCACGGCGCCGTTAACGCGTTCAAACGAAGGATCCGCTCGGTTTTTCGGTCCGCAGCGCAAAAGCAACTCGCAAAAGCAACGCGGTCTTCCGTTTCTTGAGCGGGGCCTCGGTGCTGCTCCGTCCGTCTCTCTGCTGTCGCTGCAATCGGTAAATCAAGGTGCCGGTGCTCTGCGTCTCCGCTCGTGGTCGGTAGGGTGTGTGCGTGTTTGTGCGTGTGCGCGTTACTTGGCGGCAGTGAGCAGCGCTCTCATCGTTTTTATTCCGGAACGCTCTTCCTCCGTTTGGCTCCTCCGAGGCGGGCGGCGGGGACTCGGTCTGTGGCGGACTCTCGACTGCCTCCCGGTGACTCCGGTAGGGGCTCGGTGGTCCGTTAGGTCGTTGGTTGAGTTGCAGGTTGCTGACGTCAGAGCAGTGAGAAACAGAAGTGGGTGGCCGCGCTCCAGGTGACGCCGCCTGCCGGCGCGTTGCGGTAGTTCACACAAACGCGGGCGTGTACGGTTCATGATTTAAAGACATGAAACCCCGTTAACCTAAAAACTGAGCGTGCAAACAACAGATGTGACGCGATGGATGCAGGTGTGCGAGTAACTGCAAAAGGACCGGTGCTAAAAATACATTTGACAGATTCCGCAGCAATATATTCTGTAATTATACAGAGAATCACACTATGTTTACTTGACCTCAAGAAGTGCATGTAACTCATTCGCATGCCCTCCTGGAATGTTATTGGTCTATGATTTTTATGTTATTTGATCATTGTAACCATAATCGATAAATTAACATCATAATGAGTATGCTGAAAAATGTTTAGCTCCTCATTTGTCACACACATTATTCACGTTAGCAGCAAGGCCATATGGCAAGGCAAGATTTCAATTTGTTTTTCATTACCATAATATTTGTTGCAGACACTCGGATGGATGAAGTCTCTGAGTTCCGTCATTCCATGAGGACGAGGCTTTTGGTTGCGTGAAATTACACTCGCAAAAGCTTCTCTTCTCACAGCTTTAGCTGTACTTTGTGTTAAGGGGGAAATGACAAATGAGAGTATGCTATCCACTGAATGGATAAACTGTGTTTCCTTGCTGCTAAGCATCAACATGTGAACATTAGTGTAGCATAACGTAGTCGACGGTAACCTTATGGAAGAGGAATTCATGTGTTACAACTATGTACGTGAAGTCGCTGTTATGGTTCGTTTTCAGGCAAAACAAACAACTTGCTTTTTACCAAGCTTGCAGACAGATGTTTGTAATCTCTGAAAATGAGTTTAAAAATTTAAAAAATTTAAAAATTCGACAGGCACTCAAAAACGCGCAATCCTATTCATACGTTGCATTCGCTTATATACTAAACAACAATATTTCTAGTATATTTATTTATTTTACTGCAAACAGTACTATAAATATCTATTTTCATCAAATTCTTTTTAATTAACAATTAACTTTGTAGGTCCATGCAGCAGTGATACTCTGTGCTTAAATATTGTGGGTTTCCAGTGGGTTCAGAGGCCGTTTGGTTGAGTGTGAGGGCTCACATTTGCCCCCACCTACGAAACCAAAGACAGCCATCTCCAACAAGCACACTCGCACAAGCTGAGCATACATAGCCCTTCCTGCAGGACCTGCAAGAACTGGCAGTGAGCCAAAGTGAACAGTGACAGGAAGTCAAGCATTTGCTAACTAGTGTGGTAGCCACATCCTGGCGTGTTTTAACGGAAGTCCGTTTCGAAACCCAAACGGGTCAATGGGAGCATTCACATACAACTCTGAGATCAAGATCCTGTGCCATTGTGTACATCCAAGCATATTGGAGAAAAGGCACTTCACCTCTACTGGATGTTAATTACGACGTGTGAATGGCAGAGAGGTATGGGTGTTATTGTCTCATTCATCATCGTCCACCTTGACTGCAATTAATTCCTGACCCTCAGTGATGATGGTACAGATGGGTTTATTTAACTGAATTAACTATTCAAAACAATACTCCTTTCTCTTTGTGCACGATTCAGCCAACAGGTTTCCCAGTCAAATCTCATTAAAAAAACACCATTTTGGAGATTATTTTTGTTCATAAGCACCAGAGTGAATAGTGGGGTGGTGCATGGAGTAGAGGATCCGCCAGAAAAAGCAAGGTTGGCGGTTTGAACGGCTCCTCCGTGTCCCATTTCGAAGTGTCCCTGGTTGTCCCTGCCGTGCACCTGGCTTGCTACTCACAATTATTTGAATACTTTTTGTCATAGGAATTGAATGTATGATACATTTTTTACATTGCTCATTCTGTACACATGGCATCCATTGTAGTCTGTCCATCCCGGGAGTGGGATCCCTCCTCTGACGTTGTCCCTAAGGTTTCTTCCCTTTTTTCCCTCTTGGAAGGGTTTTTCATTTTTTGGGGAGTTTTTCCTGTGCCGATGAAGGATTGCAATTTTGGACTATACAAGATAAAATTAATTGAATTGAATTCTTAAGAATTTATACACAAGGGACCTTGAATAGTCAGAGCAAAACTTCATAGAAACCTGTCCAATGGGCCATATCAAATATTTCTTCTGAACCTCAAAGTGTCCACCTCCGCCGACGATCAAAGTCAGTAGTTTGTTATCCACGAATGTCTCTAAAAATGTACGTCAATCAATCCAACATTGTTGAGATATGGACCAACTGACTTCATCCAACAATCCATGGAGCTAAAAGAGCGATGACAAACAGAAGCAGTGACACCAACAACTTCACCTGTCTACCTGTGTACCAGCTGTCTCATCAGAGTAAATAGGCTAAAAATAACCCTACTGGAAGCACTAGTTGAGCTGACAACCCATTGAATTGTGTGTGCAACTTTAAACTTAAAATAACACATGCCTCAACAGGAGGGATGTAGATATAGAAATATTAGTAGATATCCAAATTGAACGATGGGAAAACTTAACAAAATAAATTACTAAAAGAAAGATTAAGATACCGGAGGAAATGTATTGTCAACAGCTCACGAGCAGCTCAAGAGTTGAATCAACAAACAGCTCACAATTTGACTTCTATTTCTGGAATGAATTTGAAATATTGTTCTTCTCATTCAGTCAGCAGGACTGATAGTACAGTAAATGGTACAAGACCAGGAGCTCACCTGGGAAGAGCACCAAGACACACACACACACACACACCATTGTGCTTCTCTATTCAACAGCTGACCAGGGAATCATGATCTTCCAACACCTCGGATCCCCCGATCAGTCTGGTCACAGGACCTGCGAGATTCTCAGGATCAAGAAGAGTGTGGATCTCAATCACACGTCAATGACGACCACTACGCGTCGTCTGACCAAGCCTTTGATAACAAGAGGAAGTATACACTCATGCATAATCCCACAAACACTTTAGTTTTTGTACAAGTTATTACCACACAACTTTCAGATTAAGAAAAGGGACAGAAACCCCTCATTTAAATCCAAGCTAAAATGATTGAGATATACAAGCAAATACACACGGTTGATATTATTGTGAGAACAAGAGATCAAGGTTCTTGATTTATAAAAATGTCCAACCATTTCCCTGATATAGAACTATACAGTAAATAGACATATTCACATTGAACATCTGGTCGGACGGTGAAAGAGATTCACCTTTCCGTTGAGTTGTACTTATTAAGATAACAGTATTGTCCCGATTAAACAAAACATAACTATAGACACAGTGAACAACAGACAGGAATGCATCACCAATGATTGATAAACTACATTAACCTAAAACCCACATCAGTAGAATGGAAGCTATGGGAATACCTGGGGGGTGTCTAATGAGTTTCAAGTCACACACAGGATCTAGAAGACGCACCTCTACCGCTGCTGGAGCAGAGAGGGATGACACAGAAGAGGAGAGACCACCTGTCGACAACCTGAGTGGCGCCAAAGGGACCGTGAGCAGTGACCAAACAACCGTCATCTCGCTGAGAGGAAGGACTTCCTCAGCCCAGAGTCTGCTTGACCACAGAAGCAGAACCAGCACCGCAGAGGAGACCAGAAGCAAGACAAGCATCGTTCTAGGAGACCAGAAGCAAGACTAGGTCTGATTCAGAAAGGGTCCAAGCAACCTTCCGATCTCCCTTTTGAGGGACAGCACAGTTCCAAGACCACCTCACACTAATGGGGGACAACGACAGCCCAGCACAGGCATAACCTCAGACCCATTGGGTCACATCAGAGCCATCGATTTCCAGTACAGACACTTCCAAGTTTCCAAGCCCCTCTATAAACACTGCCCCATGGACAACAACAACAACCATTTAGCATAAGAGATCCTGAAATAATCGAGAAATCACCCGCACACACAAATGGAGGTGAACCACTGCTGAGAGCTCTTACTGAAGAACCAGCAGCGAACAGTTACATGGACAACCGCTTCTCAGGTTTATTGGACTCATGATTTAGTAAATACAAACAATTGTTAATTTCTGTGATAACAGTCTCCATTATGGCCAGCATTCTATTCCTGGGTGGATGCTGTTGCATCCTCTGCATCAGGACTCTTATCATTAGAATGATCAGAGAAGACCAGCCCCATGATGCCATAAGGTTTATTAAATGAATGTGTCCTGTGTCAATTTATACTGTACACATGACATCCGTGATGAAATGTTAAATCCTGGGAGAAGATCTTTCAATCTTTTCCGACAGATTTATTCCTCGTTTTATTCCTAAAAAGGGTTTTCGAGGGAGTTTTTGTTCTGTGCCAGGTACAAGTTAACAAGGTGTGTCCAGATGCACATATTATGATTAGAATGTGTAAGATCAAGCGTGTCATATTGGATCGAACGTTATGCTAAACAAATTATTAGACGAGACATCTGACAAAACTGAGGAATTTGATGAACCGATCCACCTAATTGGTTTTTACACCAAAATTGGTGTAAAGGGATGGATTGTAGGATATTAGAACCAAATATACGACCCGGTTCATAAAATTAATAAAAATGCATATAGTGTACACCAGAATACAGCCATGATTCTGAAACTGTGTAATCAATAAAGTAATGACAATATTGTAAAACCACTGTAATTCTGCAACTGTAATAGAATAATACCAATGCAGTTATGATTGTATTTGATGTAATGTAATCAACTGGAATGCATGCATGTAATACTTGAACAACAACTGATATTGACTAAGGGTCATTCGAAATCCGAGTTACATTGAACTCACCAGAAGACCACTCCCAGAGGTGTGGACACTGACTTTCACACCTTTCGGGCACTAGGGATGGTCAAAGGACTGACCTGGGGCCTGTTGGTCGCTGAGAC